CCAGGCACCCAGGAAGTGAACACTTCATGCCTAGATCCTACATCATCCATCGGATCAATGGCATAGAATACCATGGTGATGCAAAGAGCTGATTGTAGGAAGTAGACTGCCAATTCTTTTTTTTTAGTTTGTAGCTCACTGCAACCTGGTCAGCATTGCAACAACTCAAAAGCCTACAAGTTGGTGGTAGTTGTGCTGGTGTGCATTGACCTGGAATGGAAAGCACCCAAGTCTTCTTCATGGAGGATATGCATGACTGTATTGAATGGATAGTGCCCACGAAATGGGAGGGAGGGGAGAAAGGGAAGAAGGATGAGAAGGTTTAGATTGACACACAGGCTAGGATAGATCGAGAGAGGAAAGTTGTTTAGCAACTTGTGTCCCAGAACGAACAATCATTGCTTGCTTGATGAGGATGATATAAACTAATTTTTCTCAGATTTGGATTGTGTGCATTGAAAGTTTGAAGATCTCTCTAAGAAGTAGATTCTAATTCACTAATTCATTTTATTCTTTATTATGCTCATTTCCCCAATCCAACCCTGTTATGGCCCTAGGAAATTATTAATAGAGTTATGGTCTCTATAGAGTTACCATATCTATCTGTGTGGATTTCACATACAGAAAAACATACAAAACAAAATTTTAAAATTAAAGAAAAAATCAACAATGATCAAACAAACCAGAGAAACCTCAAACAAAAAGCAAGTAGAAATATTAAAAATTGGGAAGAAGGGTGATATAAAATGCTCATGTAAATCCATACCTTGAGAATTAAGTGAAGAGCAAAAGGGAAAATTCACCAGGAAAAACCTGCCACAGATGAGAAAATGTTAGCTTTTTATTCTTTTCTATTTTTCTTTTAAGTACTGAAGAAAATAGTTGGATATTTTCTTTTTATATTTCTATCTCTTAATTTAATTTTTCTTTCTCAGAATTGTTGCTTTATACCTTGGAGGCTTGTATGTCAATAAAGAAAGAAAAGTATCTTGATTTTAAAATTGAGTGAAGAGTCAAACATGTTGAACAGTAGAAAGTAAATTTATAAACTTACTTAATTTCTGTAGCACTTCTTCATTAAAAATGCATTATGCATTATTTCAACTGCAAAACATTATGCAGGCCGTCAAGAGAGAATGATGATGAGTATAGAGGAAGCACTACTCAGTTCAAGTAGTAAAACCAGACTGCCTAAAGCACCTTTGTACCCCCGAAGACCTCCTACATGTCTACTACTTACTTACTGTCATGCTAAAACTTTACATAAATGATATGTATGTAAACTTTACATAAATGATAAAACAAACAGCATTTTAATATGCCTTTTAACCCATCATTGTGACAGATCCTTGGCTTAGTTTGAGATAATGTCCATATTTTGAAAAAATATATAAAATGTTTAGTTAAATATTCATATTTAAAACAGAAATTTTAAATATTTTAAAATATAATTTAAAACAGACCGTCTATGTCATATTCGATGCCAGTTAATATAATAATAATTTTATAATAGTTTTCAACGAATTGAACTTCTATTGTTTTGTTTATTTTTACGTGCTCTATAAAATTAACATTCAGTTAACTATTGGGATTACTTCTTAAGATTGCTATAAACGAGCATTTGAGATTATTATTGTGATGATATTTTAACATTTTAGCCTGATAGAATTATAATTTTATTGTATGATGAAATTAGTTAAAGACTTGCCATTTTTTAGGAGGTTGGTGCTTAAAATTTATTTCATGACTGAGTTTTTGGTTGTCAGATAGAATGAATTTTCAAAGGTGAAATTTATTTTGATGGGACAAATATATTTACTGTTTCAAAACCGCAGAAAGAAATCCTGGTTTAAGGACAGCTCTTTATTGTTTCCCTTATCTTTTTCTATTTGTTCATTGCTAAATATGGTTCTGGGGATTAAAAGCAAAGACAAAACACACTGCCGTTGGGTCTGTTCTAACTCACAGTGATCCTGTGAGGCAGTGAAGAGCAGTTCATTTGGGTTTCCCAATCTGTAGACATTTATGGAAGCAGACAGCCTCACTGGTCGCCACGTGTTGGCGGGTCTGGACCACTGCCTTGCTGTTAACAGCCCTACACGTCGCCCCCCACTCCACCAGGATCCCTTGCTCTAGGTTCATGCTTGGTGTATTCAGACCCTCTCGGCGGTGCTTGTGTTGTGACCAAGCTATACCATTTAGTAAATTGCATGGTGAGGGTTTAGAAAAGTGGTGAGTGCCTAAGGGACAGGTATTTACCTAGACAAATTGAAATAGATCGTTTAGCAGTTATCCAATTAGCTTATTAAATGTGCTTATTCAATCTAGGTAAATCGAAGAACTATGTGCTTTCTCCTCTTCGTTGTCAGTGTGAGATTGGCCTGAAGTATCTGAGATAATTACCTCAACTTTCTGCTTCATCTTTGCCTGTACAAACCCAGGTTAATTTCCCCCTATGAACAAAACATTTTCCTCACTTTCCTGACAGTTTTTTTAAATGTTTAACTTCCAGATGAGACTTTGTTGTACTTTCTACTTTAACCTTTGCTTCTGATAAATATGTGCACATATTTGATCTTTGATTTTGTATCTCCTGCATAATGTATGCAGTATCATTTATTAATGAGAGGAGTCATCTATAAGTTATATTTATTAATACAGTCTTTTCCAAGTTTACATATACTGATAGGGGATTAAAACATCCTTGAAATGTATTTTACAGATGGCAGCTGAATGGAAGTGACATTGATCTCAGTTTGGATTACCGCTATGAGCTGAACGGAGGAGATCTTGTGGTGGTTAACCCCAACAGAAGTCAGGATATAGGAAGCTACCAATGTTTTGCAACAAATCCACTTGGAACAGTTGTCAGCAGGGAAGCTAAACTCCAGTTTGCCTGTAAGTTCATCTGTATACATCTAGCAAAACCAATATTTTAAAACAATGTGACTTATTTTGTGTGATTATTTAGTGGTTTAGAAGCAATTCATGAACTTCACTAAATCATTAGATAGGTTAAAATTTCAGTAGGTTTATTATTTCTGTACGCTGTATGACTTAGTGTGTTTTGTATTACTATGTTGTAAAGGTGTGTAGGGGAGGAAAAAGAAACAACGTACAGCTACATTAATTGAGCAGCTATTCTGATTTGGACTGTGTTAAAAATGAAGAGATTATGAAGGAGTGGTCAAATGTGGTCCTTGTGCTTGAAGAATATATGAACTGGAGAATATAATGTGACAACACTGATGAAATTAAGGAATATAAACAGTGAACGGGGGAGTCCATAATATGAGGTGTTGTTGACCTCCTTTGGGCTTTGCCTTGGTCACATAGACTGTCAGTGCTATCTGTACCTAGGGACTGGGCTCTCAGTTCAACTTCCTTCTTACACCCTTATCACCAACTGGGTCCACTTATTGTCTGTACATCTTCTTGCATGTATGTTGCAACCACTGCAACCAGTGTCAGAGCAAGTTCACCCAGTCCTGGATGCTCAAAGGGCAGTACAAAGGGTGCCCTCTTTTCTGGTTTCCCATGGATCATTAAATGCCATCTGAGCCTTTGTATGCTAGGTTTTTATAGTTGCTCGGCAGGATGGGTGGGGGGCATCTGGAGGTGAGATGTACCCCAAGCTAACCCCTGTAAAAATCAGGTCCAGATCATGCCCAAAGGCAGTTCTGGGAAAGGTTAGACCGGTGGGTTTCCTTGGGCAGTTCCTGTAGAGCTCAGCTAAAGGATGAGGACTCTGGCCCAGCTCTGTAAAGGTCAATTACAGAGTGTCCTACAGTCATTCTGGATAAAGATCTATTACTGGTGGAGTTCCCCACCAATCTGGACAAAAGCCATCCGGCATGGTTCAAGAACTAGGACCCAAAGGCCAAGTTGCTTTTTGGTAATTCCACACTACCATGTGGCTTTTAATGCATGGATTTTCTATTCCTTTTTATACTTGTAATGATAAATTATACTTCTGCTGGTTAACTCTTTTAATTGGTTATCATACTTAGTTGCTTCTTTTGATGTTTTCCTTGCTACATGCCACAGGTACACCTACCTATAGTGTTCCTCAGTAACATGTGAATAAGTGTTACCAAGTGCTATATTTTCCCCTCAATCTTAGTAAGTATGTAGTATATGAAAAGTGCTTCTAAGATTGTATCTCCTCTCATCCTAGTTCCTAGCCAATAGTTAGTACACAGAGGGGGATATCATTACTGAGTGTGGGATTTAGTTTTACTCTGTTTACAAAATAATAAAGTAACCCGTTACCGTTCCAAGAGTGCTGCAAAACACATAAGACTCCTGGGTCAGCAGCAGAGAACGTTATTACTCTCAACAAAGCAAGACTCTTGAGCATCAGGATGTTTTCATCAGGGCGCCTTGCAATCAAGTCCATAGGTTGATGTCAGATAGCTAGGATGGATGCTACCCATGCAGTAGGTTTGTGTCACCACTGAGGGACACTGGATTTGGAGAGTCTGTTCCTTAAATATCAAGCAGTATTCAAGCCATCTCCATGGCCTTGTCACTTAAAGTTGCTTTCTTTAAGCATAGCCCAGAGGAATGTTTGGTATATAGTGGTTGATACTTTCATTCTGGGCATGTAAGCTCAAACCTGCAAGGAAGGTCAGACCACATAGTCAATTACTTTGTCCAAAAAAGTTGCTACATTGTTTTGGTTGTTGCTTTTTGATGATGTCTTGAGATTCTGAATTGGGGTGAATGAGGTGGGTGCTTGAGGTGAATGAACGAAAAAATAATTTCTCTCTTTCATAAATCAAACTCAGGCCACACGTTGGGCTTCATCTGAGTTTTCTTCCACTTTATGATGCTTCCGTTACTCCCATGTTTGACATATAGTTCCTGAGAACATTATAGATCACAGTTCTACTTTGAAACACATGGGTTCACCCACAGTTGGTGTCAACTCAACAGCAAATAGTTTGGTATTACATTTTTTAGTAACCCTGATATATATTTAGAAATCTAGATATATGTAAATATATTCAGTAATTCATATATATTTAATATATTATGATATACTCCTAATATAGAGAGAGTTGGTTCCCCCACCCCTACGCCTACCAACAGTTATGGCTACTGGTGGTGTTTCTTAAGTGCTTTATTTGTAAGTTACAAGAAATAACAGCAGGTATTCTTAGCCCTATACTCTATGAGCTGAAACTATATAAAATGTTTTGTTTGGTTTTAAAATTTATGTGGTTTGATATAGTTTACTGGGAAAGAAACAAAAGATGGCAAACGAAATAGAGGATATTAAAAACATCAGTGATTCTAGATGACTAGCTGGAGTAGAGCAATGCTTTAACCTTGGTAACCTTAAGAAGATGCAGTACATTAGCTGCTAGCAGGGTGAGGATGGAGACCCCTGTGTTAGTAGGATGCTAATGACTGCAGTTCAGAGGAGTCTCGCCTGTCTTTGCTGCAGGCAAATGGATGGTAACTTGTCATTGAAAAATGTTCTCTCTAATTGTTCAGTATAGCAGTGTCTCCTCTTGTGACTATATTGTATGTTTTAGGGCTTAGTAATAAGTCTTTGTTTCTCCTAGCCATAAAGAAAGTACTTCATATGTGCTTCATGTACAAATGAGTAAATGAATATATGGTCAGTGCACCACTTTCGATGCAAAGAAATTTTGTCTTAATGTTCAAGTTGTCTGAAAATATTATTTGTAATACAATGAAAGAGAAAAGGCAACTTTTAACGTAAGATGCTTGCACTCCTCTGCTTTAAAGATTCTACATGCAACATTCACAAAACCTGTGCACTCACACTCACTGGTTCATAGTGACCCTATAAATCCTATAGGGGCCTATAGATCCACAGTCAACCTGTGGGTCGCCACCACTTTGGAGGTCAAATGACCCTTTTGCAGGGGTCAACTAGGACTATTGGAAAACATATTTCTGATGGTCTTAGGAACTGAGACACCATTCCTCTATCTGTCTCCAGGTGGGTCCGCCCACATGCAGATACATCCACATTCAAGTACCCAGCATGAAGACTGTTACCCATGCTGCACCATGCTTCAAGACAAAATTTCATTTATTTGTAATCAGAAATAAATATTTCACAATATATAATTACATATTGTTTTTGTGATGAATCACTATGCTTTAATTAGGTTCAATTTGTAACAATGAAAATACATCATGCGTATCAGATATTTACATGATAATTCATAACAGTAGCAAAATTGCAGTTATGAAGTAGCAGCGAAAATCATTTTATAGTTGGGGGTCACCACAACATGAGGAACTGTATTACAGGGTCGCAGCTTTAGGAGGGTTGAGAACCCTGTTATAGGATGAGGTAGAATGGCCCCCACAGGTTTTCGAATTCATGATCCTTTAAGTGAGTAGAAAGCCTCACAGGTGCTGGGTGGAGGAGGCAGTAAAATTAATCAATGTTTGAATGGCGGACACTTTCTAATAGTACTACTGTGTATATTTTTGGTGACTGCAGTATTTGGAAATAAATCTGTCAATTTCTTAATCTCAACCACAGAAAGTTTGACATGTACCTCCCAATGTCAAAATACCAATGCTTTGTGAATAATTTATTTTAATTGTCTTACTTCTGATTTTTCCTAGTCTTTTCTATAAAAATGCTTTTAGTTGAAGCATTATGAAGCACCGCTATAGATATTTAGTCATAAATGAGTTCAGCCATGCAAGTTGTTTTGAGAAAAGTATTTGAAGTATCTTTTAAACCCCCACTTAGCTTAAGATTTGAGGCACATTATTCACTACTGAAAAATTATATTTCAGAGTCCAATAGCACTATCTGACTAGTGCATTCCTCAGTAAGAAATCCATAATAACAGATAATTAGGGTAACTTGATATGCTTTCAAGTTTAAAATCATGTCTGATAAGTCATACATCTATCTATCTGTCTAAATCTATATAGATATATAAACTGTATATAACTTGAGCATAATAAATATTGAACTATATTAATTCTTCACAAATACTTAAACTCTGTTACATTTGAACAGAACAAGGGAATATGGCCTGGTTGAAATTAGAATAAGTATGTGTAGAGTACTAACCTCTCACCGTACTCGCGCATTGTCTGCTGAGCAGATAATTAGAGAAGCTGGACTACATGAGTAAGAACGTGACCTCAGGGTCTGATATCAGATATCAGGATCTGATATGGAGGAGACACAACCTTGCTTTTTGAAATTGAAGAGGACTTAAAGCACTTGCTGGTACAAAATCGAAAAAGAGGCTTTCGTGATGGATTTCAACTTAACGTAAAGGACACAAAAATATATATACTCACAATTGGACCAGTAGATGCTGTCATGATAAGATAAGAATTTGAAATTTTGAAAGACATTTTTCATGGATCCACAAGCAGCACTCATGGGAGCAGCAGGCACAGAATCAAGTGATGTTTGAGAATCTGCTGCACAGACCTCTTCAAAGTGCTGAAGAGCAAGGATGGCGCTCTGAGGGCTAGGGTGTGCCAGCCCCACGCCAGGGGCTTCTCCGTTACTGCGTGTCATTTTGAGTTGAGAGTGGTTTGATGGCATTTAACAACAACAAAGCCTACTGTATGCGTGAATATATTTTCAGCACATTCAAATTCATATGTAGATATGCTTTGTGCTCCTGCATACCACTACATCTGCCCAGCTTGCATACTTATTTGTGCATACATCAATTTTTGACAACATGAGAAAACCCTCTATCTCTAAAAGCTTAACTGTTTTATTGTTTAGCTTATAGCTTAGCTATTACTATAACTATATTAATGCATTATTTTAGTCTCCTTTTGAATTTACTTTCTGTTAGTAATTGCTGTAAAACGTTTATTATGCATATTTAACAAAGTCTAAAATTAATATCTCCCAGAATAGAGGA